GGCAAGGGTACAGATGTGAGTATCATTACTCCAGAATCTTGACATACAAATTGGCCTCTTCAAGAGGTAGATGTTCAATTACTAGAAATTGGAACCATATCTCAAGTGAAACAAAGCACAAGATGGGTTGAATGCATAGGGCTAGAAGGACAGAGAGGAAAACTAAGGCTGCATGTGGCTAGTATTGCAGTGAACTTATGGGGTTATTATCTGCTGCAGCAATGTAATACCCAGATTAACATTCCTGCAGTCTCAGAAACTCATAATACTGGGAAGGCACTATACACAAAGGTCACCAGCCAGTAAGGCTATGCAAGAACACAAAGCAACGAGCAAACCTTTAGAGGTACCAACAGCCCTACTTTTAAAACAGTTAACTGATACACCAATATGGGTTAAATAGTGGCCGTTATCAGAAGACAAACTGCAGGCTTTAGGACAGCTGGCACAGGAGCAGCTAGATGCTCACCATATTGAAGAATCAACCAGCCCTTGGAATTCTGTATTTGTTGTTAAAAAAGAAATCTGGTAAATGGAGTATGGTGACAGATCTAAGAGCTGTCAATAAAGCAATTCAACCTATGGGCCCTCTACAATCTGGAATTCCTCTACCTTCCCTATTACCAAAAGGTTGGCCTATTATAGTTATTGATTTAAAAGATTGTTTTTTCATTATACTTTTACAAGAAAAGGCCAGAGAAAAATTTGCCTTCACAGTGCCTACTTATAATAATTCTAAACATACTAGGAGAGACTGTCCTTCCACAGAGAATGCTCAATAGCCTCAGCCTATGCCAATACTTTGTAAGTCAGCCATTGAAAATAATATATAAAAAATTTCCTAAATATGTAATTTACCATTACATGTATGACATTTTGCTATCTGATTCAAATATGGATATTTTAGAAAGAATGTTTGAAGAGGTAAAAAAAGTTTTGCCAAAATGGGGATTACAAATTGCTCCTGAAAAAATAAGAGAGGAGATTCTGTCAATTACCTAGGTTATAAAATAGGTTTACAGAAAATTAGAACACAAAAGGCACAAATTAGGAGATACCTATTGCGGACTCTGAATGACTTTCAAAGATTGTTAGGAAACATTTCCAGTCTACAACCAGCTGTTGGGATAACACCTGATCTAATAGTTCATTTAAATAAAACCTTAGATGGTGACAAAGACTTAAATAGTTCCAGAGAATTAACAGCCAAAGCAGAAAGGGAATTGATTGTTGTTGAAGAAAAATTACAAGAGGCACATGTGGATAGCGTGAATCCAAATCTTAATTGCATTCTAGTCATATTGATTCCCAGAATTTCCCCTCCAGGAATTTTAATGCAAAGGGAAGATATTATCTTAGAATGGATCTTTTTGAGCACATAAAACAAGTAAAAAATTAAAACCTTATGTGGACAAAAAATCTCTGAATTAATTATAAAACAAAAATTGAGATTTTGTCAACTAGTAGGTACAGACCCAGCAGAGATTGTAGTGCCTTTTACTTCTGGTGAAATTAAAAAATTATGGGAAGACAATGAACCTTGGCAAAGAGCTTGTGCTAAGTTTTAAAGGAGAGATTAATAGCAATTATTCCAAAAGTAATAGAATTAATCTTATAAAGAGAACTACTTGAGTCCTTTCCCACATTGTACTTGATGCACCAATACTGGAGCCCATATATTCTATACTGATGCAAATAAATCAGGGAAGGCATGTTACAAATCAGAAGATTTAAGTAAGTTGGAACAAAGCCCTTATAATTCTGTCCAAAAGGCAGAATTATATGCTATTCTCATGGTGCTAAGGGTTTTTTAAAGAACCTGTTAATATAGTTACTGATTCACAATATGCAGAGAGAGTTGTTTTGCATATTGAAACCACTGAATTTATACCAGATGATACAGAATTGACTTCATTATTCATACAGTTTTAAGACATTATCAGGAATAGGCTTTGTCCTACATACATAACACACATCCAATCCCATATGGCTCTTCCAGGTTCTTTAGCACAAGGTAATGCAGAAATTGATCAATTACTGATTGGAAGTATGTTGAAGGCCTCAGAATTTTATAAGAACCATCATGTCAATAGCAAAGGTTTAAAGAAAGAGTTTTCTATTACATGGCAGCAAGCTAAGGAGATTATAAAGAGATGTCCTATTTGCTTTTTATATAACCAAACACTACTACCTGCAGGAACTAACCAAAAGGGTACTCAAAGGAATTAAATCTGGCAGATGGATGTGCTCCACTTTGCAGAATTTGGAAAATTAAAATATGTATACCACACCATTGACACTTACTCAGGTTTTTAGTGGGCAACTGCTTTAAGCTCAGAAAAGGCTGATTCAGTAATCACACATTTATTAGAAGTTATGACCGTCATGGGTATACCTGCACAAATAAAGACAGACAATGGTCCATCATATGTGTCTAAGAAAATGAAAGAGATTTTTGTGTATTATAATATAAAGAATATTAGTGTACCACACAATCCTACAGGTCAGGCAGTTACAGCAAGGTCAAATTGTCCTATAAAGGATTTGCTAAGCAAACAGAAAGGGGTAGAAAATACCCCCAGAAATAGATTACATATGCCTTATTAACCTTCAGTTTTCTTCACGCTAATGAGAAAGGGACAACAGCAGAAGAGAGTCATTGGATAATAGAAAAAAACCTTCTGAATTAAATCATCTAGTGTATGTCAAGGATATGTTGACCTCACAATGGAAGCCAGGAGAGGTGCTATGTTGGGGAAGGGTTTTGCTCTTGTTTCCACAGGAGAAGAAAAACTATGGATACCATCAAAATGAATAATGATTCACTTTGAAAAAGAGAAACCTCTTGAGAAAGAGAAATGATGCCTCATTCACAACAGTGACAACCATACAGGTGGTAAGGAAAGCATATAGGGTTGGGGCAGGGTTCTTATCTTTACAGGAAAATACACATCTCCAAAAATTCAAGAGACCCTAGATGTTTGGATGCTGACAGAAGGAAAAATAACTGTTCAATAAGGAATATCAAGAAAAAGGAATATGACTTGTAAGGACAAGTGATAAAACACACACACACACACACACAAACACATATCTGGCTTTGGAGTTTGACAACAGCTCTGTCCTCTAAATCCAAGCACATTGTTAAAATAAAAATTCAGTGTTTCTGTCTCATGTCAGGAGCCATCTGGTATGGGACAGAAAGAAGAAAGAATTTAGAAAAGATTTTCTTTTCTTCATACCTATTTTTTCTCTATCATACCTTACATTGAACATATATGTCTGTATATGTCTATATTAAAAATGTTTAAATTTTCCACAATGAACAAGTATTTTCCTGCAGTAATCTTTGAAGTTTCCAGGAAGAAGATTGGGTCCCACAACAACAACTCCACCTGGTTGATATGACGTCATGATGCTGATAGCGCTAATATAAGACCTGTTTTGGGTACCAGCTGCTCAAGATGGTTTCAACTTGGTTAGGTAAAATAGTGCATTTTTTTCAATGTTCTGGTCAGAACTCCAAATAGGAACATCAGAAACACCTTACTGAATACTCAGAGACTATTTGCAATTATACCAGACAGTAATCTTGGAACTTAACAATCATTTTACTTTCATAGGATCCCATAGAATGAACATCGCCCCTATGACAGCTGGAAGTAATCCTAGAAGACAATGTCCCTTCTCCCAACAATGTTTGTCCTCAGGGTTAGGGACATCATTTAGGGGTTGATTATAATTGGTGTAGGGTTGAGAGTTGTTGGGGAAATTATGTAGGCTCAGGGATCTCTTTGAAAAAAAAGAGGAAATTGGATGGGATAATAGGTAATTTACTTGGTATAAATTCTTGTATATCAATACAAGCTTAAATTATATTGAATATGTCCTATTTTTGTCCACATATTTGTATATCTAGGCAAAGTTATTTTCTCATTTTGTATGCATGCATGCTTCTATCTCTGTTTAAGACATTTGGTATATTGATACAATTTTAGGATATATTTATCATATTGTAACATATATTTTTACCTCTGATCAAGATATTTATACATTGTTTACAATTTGAGGTCATTGTCCTCATTTGTTGCAGAGTTGCTTATTGTATAATATTCTAATATGAAATCTTGGCCTTTAAGTTATATAGGTATTAAGAATTATAGATCAATAGTTATTTATGTTTGTCATATTTATAGTTAGACTAATCAGGTTCTTTAGATACATAGAGATTATATTCTGCATAGCTAGGTAATCTTCAACCACTTCAAAGAGCTGTAGAATATGGCATTTAAATAACTTAGCATTGTGTTGACGTGAGACACAATTGCTCCTGGCAGCACCCATCTATTCCTGAGAGAATGTTGAGCACCAAAGACACTCCACTTGGAGCTTGTTTTCTTTTTGGCAAAACTGGCCTTTGGGCAAGGAACTGCCCATGTATCAACCACTGACAAAATGCATGTTGTCCAGACAGGACAAGCAGGATACAAGGAAAAAGACTGTCAAATCTTGCCAAGACAGGGTAAGACAGTTTTGAAAAATTTCCTGCCTCTGAAAGTAATATGCCAGTTACTCTAGGCCTTAGCCAAAGTTGGTTGCTTCAACATTGCAAATGAGACTTTGGGTAATTGCCAGGAAGCCACTTGTCTCTGTCATTTGTTGCACATTTTGGAAGTTGCTTGATTGCACTTCCTATTTACCCAAGTAATATTATTTTCCTTCTCAGGTCTTTGATGGAGTTGAGACTAGATAGTTGTAATTACTTTCCTCTCATGACTTGGCCAAGTTATTTATAATACAAGACTTAAACTCCTTAGGATAGGATAATTATTAAAACATTTATCACATGTTTCTTTCTTGATATTGTTTATGCTGGCTGTAATTCTAATTTTTATATCTGATACTTGTTCTTATTGTATATAACTTCATATTAGACTTAGAACTTTCTTTTTTTTTATGGTGAAAAAGTGTATATTTAGAATTAGCCGGCTGGGCTCAGTTTAGATGATTCCAATCTTGTTGGTAACATCCAGAACATCATAATCAGGAGCCAACCGAACATACGCCTTCTTCTCTCCATCGGGCCTTATGAGGGTGTTGACTTTGGCCACATCGATGTCATAGAGTTTCTTCACAGCCTGTTTGATCTGGTGCTTGTTGGCCTTGACGTCCACAATGAACACAAGTGTGTTGTTGTCTTCTATCTTCTTCATGGCTGACTCGGTGGTCAGGGGGAATTTGATGACGGCATAGTGGTCAAGCTTGTTCCTCCTGGGTGCACTCTTCCGGGGGTATTTAGGCTGCCTTCGTAGCCGCAGGGTCTTGGGACGCCGAAAGGTGGGCGATGTGCGGATCTTCTTCTTTTTGTGGCTGTGGACGCCTTTCAGCACTGCCTTCTTGGCTTTCAAGGCCTTCACTTTAGCTTCAGCTTTGGGAGGGGCAGGAGCTTCCTTCTTCGCTTTCAGCGCCATCTTGACGAAAAGGGCAGAACTTTCTTATTTAAACAAAAGGGGAGGTGTGTAGGAAGTCCTACCACCAGTACCCTTTAAGTTACCTGTTCACTTGGGCATGGCCTCTTATACTATATATGCCAATGTAAAGTGCATAGTTTTGGCCTCCTTCTTGGCTACTGGATTCGGTTGCTGTTCCCTGTTTGAGCAGTGGACTGTAATCTGTGAGTCTACCCCTAAATATAACCTTCTATTATACTCAATTCTGAGCTAGTGTGGGATTTCTTTTATGCATCCTTCTTCAGGTTATTATGGGTGTTTATGAGCGATGGGACATTATGGAGGATGGCTAGGACATTGATGTGTGTCCTTGAGTGTAGAGAAGTGAGGTCCCTGCTTCTCTTCTTTACTTTGTGGTTTGTGCAGTAAGCAACTCTACTCTGCCACACTGAGCCACTCCACAACACCCGGGGCAATAAGGACAAGTGATCACCAACCCAAATCTCCAAATCTTTGACCCCAAACAAACCTTATATCTTCATAAATGGTTCACTCTGGGTATTTCATCATCGTGACAGAAAGTTTACCAACTCAGTTTGCTACCCAAGCAATGCCCTGGATGGTTTTACCTGCTGTTTTGCTTTTTGAGACAGGGTCTCCTGTAGTCTAGAGTGGCCTTGAGCTTGCTATGTAGCCAAGGATGACTTTGAACTCCTGCTTCTCCTGCTTCCACCTCCTGAATTCCAGGATTGCTGGTATGTGTATCCTTACCCCGCTTCCAGGTGCCTCTTTTACCAATGGAAAGCTCACACACTCAAATACAGGGGGAATACAATATTCAAAGTATAAATATTGAAGGGAGCAATAGGGATTTTAGCATTCTTAGGACTGTCATGTAGGATAAAGAGCCAATATGATGTAGTCAGAATGTGCTTGAGAGTTTACCAAGTTATAGGCACAGCTTCGTCTCGGCTGCAAGCATCAGGCTGGCTGACTGGCTTGGTTTCACTAGTGTATGGGGAGCTGATGTCAAAGCTCAGAACCCCCAATGACAATGAACACATGAGGGTCCCTTTACTATTATCCTGACTTGATCCATAAAGAACACATGCAGTTTCTAAAGTACGTGGACTGAATGATGTCTCCCCCAAATCTATACATCAAAGCCCCGGCATTGATTGTTTGGGAACAGAGATTATGAGTAATTAAGGTTGAGCGTGGTCCTCACGCAGCAGAGGGAGCTGGTCCAACAGGATTGATTTCTTTGTAGGAAGAGAAAGCCCATGGAAATCTCCATCTCTGCCTAGGCAGAGGCTATGTGAGGACATGGAGAGGAGGCGTTGTCCCCAAGCTAGGAACGGAGTTCTCACCAGGAACAAAATCAACCGTGCCTCGATCTGAGACTTCCAGTCTCCAGACTTTGGGGACATAAATGTTGTTGTTGACACCGCCCAGTTGGTACTATTTTGTGATGGCAGCCCAAGTCAGCATGGCACACAGCATATAGAATAGCAAACGTCACTATGAAGGCGTTGCTTAGGAGAGAAAACTTGTAGGATAAGCTCCTAAAAGCAATGGGAACTGAAACATTGTGAGGACACAGAGCATGGCAGCTCCAGACTGCTGCCCATGAATCTGATGCCAGGTTCACTCTGAGGACAAGGAAGCTTACAGTGTCTACTGCCATTGAGGAAGCCAGCTGCTGCTGTCAGTGCTGTGACATGAACCAGCAGGGAGGCTGGGATGGGAGTCAGAGTTTTCTAGGAAATGAAGGCTCAGTTCCCTTATATCAGGCAGCTCCATGAAGATGTTCCCTGTCATATTTCCATTGCTTGCTTATATGACCACTGTTGGACTATTGTTTTCTAGTCTTTGGATATCAAAACTGGGTGGATGGATGAGAGACTGGGGCTTCTGGCTGTCTCCTGCTCTTCTCATAGATACTAGAGGTGATCAACTTGGATTTCTCCAAGAACAGTTCCTAGATGGCCATGTGATGATAATGACGATGATTAGGAATGGTGAGGATGGACCGCAGGGTCTCACACATCTGGACATGTGCTCTACTACTGAGCTATATCACCCAGTACAGGAGGGAGCTAATATAGATCTCTCAGTTCAGTTCAGATGTGCCCTTGGCAGAGGTTGGCTCTTCTAAAAACCCTTTAGCTGTTGAAATCTGAGGGACCTGGTAGGAAGGCTTGCTCAGCATGGATTGTGTTGAATCTTGGCTTCTAAAAAGCAGTTATGACTTAGAGGTGCAGGACTCTACATACCTGTCCAGAGAACTGGAGCAGGGAAATCCCAAGGTGAATCTTCAGAAGGGATGGGGAAATCCGATGATGGAAATGCTGGGCTAATCTGAGCATCACAAGTGAGTAAAGAAGGCAGCAGATCAGAACTACAAAGGAGACTTGCCATACTGATACAAGTACAAAGACAGGGAAGCAGGAAGGGAAAAGACATTTCACAGCTAAAGCCAGGACAGGTATGTAGTCGGTTGAAGGCTGGCACCTGGTGACCATGAAGGGCAGAGCCAACGTAGGCTGTATGAACCATCAATTACTACTCAAAGAAACTTCTAGGGGAAGCCAGGTATCATCCAGGATATTGCCTCCATCTCAAAGTATCGAGTCAGATGGTGGCCTTTACAAAGTATGAAACAATAATTTGGCAGGAAACCCTTCATCCGCCTTGACGGTAGCGAGGCCACAGCTGCCCCCTGGTACAATGTCTGCTGTGAGCGAAGCATCCTTTCCATTGAGTTCCTCCCCAAACATGAGGAAGCATAAGAAAAACACAGGAGGAATATTCTAATATTCTACCATACGCCACCCTGTACCCTGAGGAGAGCAACAGCTTGAGAGATGAACTTTAGAGGGGCTTCATAGATGATGGCGTAGAGGGGAGGGCGAGGGTTCCATAGCCCATAAGAGAAACTATTGAGGAAACTGGCAAAGCCCAAAGAAGTCACCCTGGGAAGACAGGGCAACCAACAGCAGAGAACCAGATGGTGTATTTTCCAACTAAGATCCCCAGTAGGGAAAACTGATTTTTCTTCAGGCAAGTCCAGATATATGTGTTATTTAAGAGTTTGTCACAGTTCCTGTCATCTAAGATGCCAGGTCCTTGGGAGCATCCTACCTGCCAAGTTTGGTTTTGCTGGTATCTTAATTGGTGTTTCTATTGCTGTAATAAAACACTGTGGCCACAAGCAAAAAGGACGAGAGAGTTATTTCGTGTTACAACTCTCAGGTCACCATTCCACCACCAACAGAAGTCAGGGCAGGAACTCAAGGCAGGAACCACAGCGGAGGCTGTGGAGGAATGCGGCTTTCTGGCTTGCACACAGGCCATCCTCGTGGGAGCATTTTCTCAGCTGAGACTCCTGATTTTAGAATGACTCTAGCTTGTGTCAAGTTGACATAAAACTAGCCAGCTCAGTGACTAGAAAGTTTGAATTACGTCATTGGATGCTGTGTTGGCAGTAGCTGCTTTGTAGATGAGAGATATTGCCACGGCATTAGCAGGGGACGACTTTGCACAGTTCCCATACTGGCCCGATGGGGGTGAAAGACCTGCAGCATGAATATGGAATTTGTTATTTTACTTTTATGTTGTAGATTTATTTATTTATGTGTGTGAGTGTTTTGCCTGCATGTGTGTATACCAGGTGTGTATCTGCCTGGTGTCCTTGGAGAACAGAAGAGAACACTGGATCCCCTGGAATTTGAATTGTGGATGATTGTGGTTCTGAGCCGCCATGCAGCTTCTGGGAACTGAACCTGGGTTCTCTGCAAGAGCAGCAAGTGCTCTTAACTGATGAGCCACCTCTCAAGCCCTCGGGACATGTTCTTTAAGTACAAGGCAGCTTGTGTCATTGATGAAAATGGCTGGAGGATCTTCAGCCTCTGACACACACTGGGGTGCCAACAGAGAGGGGCTGGACAAAGAGAGGCTCTCTTGGGGTGGGATGGAGTTGAGTATTTTCGGTCTCCAAAGGAGGATAAATGCCACGAGGAGAAGAACTTGGGAGACTGAAGTTGGGGAAGCAGTTTCTGAACAAAGAAACCAAAGCAAGTCAGAAAGGGAATGAGTCAGTATAAAATCCATTAAAAGTAAAAGGCTCATGTTCTTTAATCTTTTCCTTTGAAAATGCAATATTAATAACAGCGCTGTTTACTGATGGAGCCCTGCTTCTGCATATGTGCTCAATCAGAGCTCTGCAAAAGGTCAGGGACCCTCTGCTTCCTGTTAGATTTCCACTCAGAGGCAAATGCAAATGATTCAGGCTCTCCAGGCTCAGGCAGGGCTCCTTCTCCAGCCGCACTGCCTGCTGGGTCTCAGCGCTGATCCAGATCAAGCAGAGCCCGTCTGGAGCGGGGTGTTCTTGGAGAGGGAGGGGAGCTCCTGATCTTCCTGGGCACCCCACCCCTCCATGTGTGACTCTGTTCTGCACCACATGGTCCTCCGTGTTACAGAATAGGAGAAAGATGGATATGGCTTTGACACTTTTAAAAGGGCTGAAAACAAATGATAATGTGTCCATAAACAAACCTACATCAGGATGCAGCCCTGTTGTGGGACAGTGGTCTGTACCCTGTCACTTGCTTGAATGAAATGCTGATTGGCCAGTAGCCAGGCAGGAAGTAGAGATGGAGCGACCAGAAGAGGAGAATTCTGGGAAGAGGAAAGGCAGAGTCTGCAGCCATCACCCAGATGCAGAGGAAGCAAGATGAGAATGCCTCGCTGATAACAGGTACCAAGCCACGTGGCTGACACAGACAAGAATTATGGGTTAAAATGTAGAAATTAGTGAAGACACCTGAGCTAAGAGCCCAACCAGTTAATAATGTAGACCTCTGTGTGTTTCGTTGGGACTGAAGCGCTGTGGGACCGGGCGGACAGAAACCTCTGCCAAACCCACTGACTGGGAGAAGATCTTCACCAACCCTGCAACAGACAAAGGTCTGATCTCCAAAATATATAAAGAACTCAAGAAACTAGACCATAAAAGGCTA